GACATTGAGAAGGCGATAAGGATGAGGTGGATGTCCCATATTCTCAGCACATAAACCATCTTGAATGGCATTTCCTCATTTTCTTCAGGGCACCGTTGACAGGAGGTAGAGGGAGTCACCCTGCCAGCCCCACCCCTCAGCCTCTCTCCCTACATGTCTCCTGCCCCCTACCTGATCTGCTTCCATAGCTGCTGCTTCCCCTTCAGGCTCATGAAAAGACAGATGAGGAGGTCTTGTGGGCATCATCTTGTCACCTTCCAGAGACAAAGAGAAGTGGGAAGCCATGAATGCCTGCTTTTCTCCGATGTTCAGGAGTGTATCTCTAATTACAGGTGTACCTATTGAGTGCCTTTTGACATCCGTACACCTTTCGTCTTTTAGTTATGTAAAAATATATCCCACCTCCTTTGGGCTCTTGGCCCCAACTGCCTCCCCACAAAAGACGGAAAGAACTGACAGATTAATTTCCAAATCCCCAGGATGTGACCAAGGAGAGAAATAACTCTCTCCTTACCCAGTGGTCTCTCTCTGGTGTCCATCAGAGTCCTCTCTGCCTCAGGGGAATCAGGACCCATTTCTGTTAACAGATCCTGAACCTGAAAGAGCAACAAAGATTCAAAACAAAATGGGAAGGGGGATTAGAAAAGCAATGGTAGAGGCAAACACTTTAGGGGTAGCAGATCTCATTCCTTGGATCCGATCCATAATGGGATGGGACATTAGGACCGCATTTTGGGATACTCTTGCTCTGGTTTGGAGCCCCTTGGGAGTTTCCAGAGGAAAGTCTCTCTCACCTGCTGCTCTGCCTGCTTCCTCTTCTCTGCCTGACTCAGGAGGAAACCTTCGGCCAGGGCCACTGCCTGGGAACTGGTCTCCGCTCTACATTCCCTCACCCAGCTCTCTATCTCAGGTGGAAGGACAGCCAGGAACTGCTCCAAGATCACCATGTCCAGCATCTCAGCTTTCGTGTTCCTTTCTGGCTTCAGCCACTGACAGACAAGGTGGTAGAGTCGGCTGCAAACCTCTCGGGGTCCTTTGGCCGCCTGGTAGAACTGCTTGAGCTGCTGGCTCTGAACATCTGAGCGGAGGGTGTCCTCCTTACATAGGATCTTCCGCATAGCGTTTTCCCAGAATCCCCCAGTGCTCCCATCTTCAGTGGCATGGCCTCTTCCTGCTTTAGGTCCAGCCGAGTCTTGCTCATCCATCTGTAGTCTCTGGAAACTTCCAAGAGATCAGAAGGAGTCCCTTTTTTCTTCTGCAAAGTTCTTCCCATCCGAATTAGAGGTGCTGGCAAACCCTACAAAGCAAATGCATTGTTCTGTTATAAAATTGGCACTGTGTCAGGATCAGAAAAATGTCCCCAGACAAATGTGGATGGTTTTTGCTAGCAATCAAGGCTGCACTGCAGTAAAGCCCAGGCTCTGAACATATTGTGGTTGTAAGTTGTTTTAAGCTGTTTTTAAACTTATTACAGCTCCGTGAGAGAAAAATAAAGACTCCAGAAAAACAACAACACACCATCAGAATTTGTCTTAATCTGGCTGGTCTAAATTTAAGTATAAGAAGAAGTTATTATCTGCAGAAAACACACACACAAATCATCAGAATTTGGTTCAGTCTGGCTGGTCTAAATAAAAATTTAAGCATAGCAATAGTAATACAGTGGTACCCCGCAAGACGAATGCCTCGCAAGACGGAAAACCTGCAAGACGAAAGGGTTTTCTGTTTTGGAGGCGCTTCGCAAGACGAATTTCCCTATGGGCTTCCTTCGCAAGACGAAAGCCCATAGGGAAATGCTGGCGGTCGGGAGCAAAGACTTTCGCCCACAGCCGGCCTTCAGAAGAGGACCTCTTCTGAAGGCCGGCGGGGGGCAAAAGTCTTTGCTCCCCCCCGCCTGCCTCCCCCCCCCGCCTGCCCCGGGCGATCTTAAAATGCTGGGGGTCGGGAGCGAAGCGTTCGCTGCCGACCCCCAGCATTTTAAAATCTCCCCCTGTCCCGGGGAGATTTTAAAATGCTGGGGGTCGGCAGCGAACGCTTCGCTCCCGACCCCCAGCATTTTAAAATGCTGTTCCGAAGCGGGGCGGGAACACCTGCCCCAGCCGCCCCACTTCGGAACGCTGCTCCGAAGCGGGGGGGGGCGGGAACACCTGCCCCAGCCGCCCCGCTTCGGAACGCTGTTCCGAAGCGGGGCGGGGGGCGGGAACACCTTCTGAAGGCGGGCGGGGGGCGAAAGTCTTTGTCCCCCCTGCCTGCCTTCCCAGGGGCTTTTAAATCGCCCCGGACAGCGGAGAAGTCCTCCGCTGTCCGGGGCGATTTTAAAATGCCGCCCGCCAGCATTTTAAGATCGCCCGGACAGCGGAGAAGTCCTCCGCTGTCCCGGGGTTTTTTAAAATGCTGGGGGGTGGGAAGAAAAGCCCTTGTCCCCCCCCCAGCCTTCAGAAGAGGTCGGGGGACAGACTGTCCCCGGACCTGGTCTGAAGGCGGTTTCCCTAGGAACGCATTAATTGATTTTCAATGCATTCCTATGGGAAACCGTGCATCGCAAGACGAAAAACTCGCAAGACGAAGAGACTTGCGGAACGAATTAATTTCGTCTTGCGAGGCACCACTGTACATAATTACTACTACTATAATGCCACCCATCTGACTGGGTTATCTCAGCTACTCTGAGCGGCTTCCAATAAGATGAACAACAAACACAGTAAGGCATCAAACATTATAAATGTTTCTGCATCAGTATAGCAATTATTCTCCTAGCTGGGTCTCAGCGGCTTTTGATACCATCAACCATAACTTCCTTCTGGACCGTGAAGGTCCTGTGTGAGTGTCTGGAGGCGGTTGGAGGAGGGATGGTGGCTAACGGATTGAGGTTGAATCCTGACAAGATAGAAGTTCTGTTTTGGAGGGACAGGGGACAAGTGGGTGTGGGGGACTCCCTTGTCCTGAATGGGGTAACTGTGCCCCTGAAGAACCAGGTGTGCAGCCTGGGAGTCATTTTGGACTCACAGCTGTCCATGGAGATGCAGGTCAATTCTGTGTCCAGGGCAGCTGTTTATCAGCTCCATCTGGTATGAAGGCTGAGACCCTACCTGCCCACAGACTGTCTCACCAGAGTGGTGCATGCTCTAGTTTTATCTCCCGCTTGGACTACTGCAATGTCCTCTACGTAGGGCTACCTTTGAAGGTGACTCAGAAACTGCAATTAATCCAGAATGCGGCAGCTAGACTGGTGACTGGGAGTGGCAGTACGTTTCCGAGCACATTCAAAGTGTTGGTGCTGACCTTTAAAGCCCTAAACGGCCTTGGTCCTGTATACCTGAAGGAGCGTCTTCACCCCCATTGTTCTGCCCAGACACTGAGGTCCAGCGCCAAGGGCTTTCTGGCGGTTCCCTCGCTGTGAGAAGTGAGGTTCCAGGGAACCAGGCAGAGGGCCTTCTTGGTGGTGGCGCCTGCTCTGTGGAACGTCCTTCTGTCAGATGTCAAGGAAATAGACAACTACCAGACTTTTAGAAGACACCTGAAGGCAGCCCTGTTTAGGGAAGTTTTTAATGTTTAATGCTGTATGGTGTTTTTAATATTCAGTTGGGAGCTGCCCAGAGTGGCTGGGGAAACCAAGCCAGATGGGTGGGGAATGAATGAATGAACTCAGTATAGTGGTACCTCAGGTTACAGACGCTTCAGGTTACAGACTCCGCTAACCCAGAAATAGTACCTCAGGTTAAGAACAGAAATCGTGCTCCGGCGGTGCAGCAGCAGCAGGAGGCCCCATTAGCTAAAGTGGTGCTTCAGGTTAAGAACAGATTCAGCTTAAGAATGGACCTCTGGAACGAATTAAGTACTTAACCCGAGGTACCACTGTACAGTGACCACTAATAATGAAATATATGTTGCAGATATCCCTGCACATTTATTATGATATTTTGTGATATACAAATGAAGGGAGAGGATTTACAATCGGAAAACTATTGAATGGGAAGGGACCCTGAGGACCATCTAGTCCAGCCCCCTGTGATGCAGAAATATTCACCCAACTTGAGGCACAAACCCATGACTAGGAGTCTAAGAGTCTCATGCTTTACTGACTGATTCAGTCTATTCATTTGTATCATTTACTGTTCCCATTATCCTTGTTTACGTGACCCCATTAAGAGTTATTCCAAAAGAAAGGAAAAAGGCAAACACAACCCCCCATCTACAAAGCAGGATAAGGCCACTTTAAAGAATACTGGCTTCCTCCAAAGAATCAGGGGAACTGTAGTTTGATGAGGGTGCAGGGAAAGCTCGTTGATTTGTGGGTCTCTGCCCCCCCCCATGCACCTTCATCCTACAGCCTGGGGACCCCCCTTCTATGCAAGGCACCCCAAGGGGGAAGAGAGGAGACTGCAGATCCCAGAAGGGGGACCCAGGCAGCTCTGGCAAAGGAGAGAGAGGAAAGCAACCCCTCCCCTTTCAAGACGGGGGGGGGGCTTTTGCTCTGAGGGACCCCGCCCCCTTGTCCTCCCTTCACTAGCAATCCAGCTTAGTTCCTTTTAACCCTTCATGAGCCGAACGCACCCAGTTCCCCCCTCTATGGAGAGCAGGAGCCCACAGAGAGGGGCTTTGTTCTGGGGAGGGTGGGGACCCGTTGTAAGGCAGCAGCGTGTAGGGGGAAAGGCTGTTCCAGAAGCAAAGGACGGCCTGGTGGGGGCTCCTCCCTCAGAAGGGGGGGGGCATTGGCATGCCACTTTTTCCCTCTTCAAAGGGGCAAAGGAAGAAGAGGATGCTCCCCCCCCTTGGGCATCCTCCCCCTGCAGCCCTGGGACCCCCCTTCTCCCCCGGGCGCCCCAAGGGGAAAGAGAGAGGAGACTCACTGGATCCCAGGAGGGGCCATCGAGGCAGCCTTGGCAGAGGACGGAGGGGGAGGGGCTTCCGCTCTGGAGGACCTGGGACCCCCGCCCCCACTTCCTGGCCTCTCTAGGATTCCAGCTCGCCTCCATGTCGCCTGCTTCTGCGCCTGCGCCCTAACCCTCTCGGATGAGGGCGGTCTTGAGCCGCGCCTCCTCCGCTCCCTCAATCCAACGGCTGGTGGGTGACGTCATGCCGCAAGGGGATCTCGAAATTCGCCGCGCCCGTGAGCTGAGGGGAACGGAAAAGGCGGGAAAGGGGAGAGGAGAAGGGACATGTGACATCCTTTTATATATTTGAACATGGCTATCATATCACCCCTTAACCTCCTCTTCTCCAGGCTAAACATGCCCAGCTCCCTTAGCCGTTCCTCATAAGGCATCGTTTCCAGGCCTTGACCATTTTGGTTGCCCTCCTCTGGACACGTTCCAGTTTGTCAGTGTCCTTCTTGAACTGTGGTGCCCAGAACTGGACACAGTACTCCAGGTGAGGTCTGACCAGAGCAGAATACAGTGGCACTATTACTTCCCTTGATCTAGATGCTATACAGTGGTACCTCGCAAGACGAACGCCTCGCAAGACGGAAAACCCGCTAGACGAAAGGGTTTTCCGTTTTGGAGGCGCTTCGCAAGACGAATTTCCCTATGGGCTTGCTTCGCAATACGACAGCCCATAGGGAAATATCCGGGACAGCGGGGAAGCGCAGCGCGTCTTCCCCACTGTCCTCGGACCTCCTCCGAAGCCGGGCGGTGGGGCGGGAACACCTGCCCCCACCGCCCGGCTTCGGAACGATGCTCCGAAGCCGGGCGGGGGGGCGGGAACACCTGCCCCCACCGCCCGGCTTCGGAACGCTGCTCCGAAGCAGGGCGGGGGGGCGGGAACACCTGCCCCCACCGCCCGGCTTCGGAACGCTGCTCCGAAGCAGGGCGGGGGGGCGGGAACACCTGCCCCCACCGCCCGGCTTCGGAACGCTGCTCCGAAGCAGGGCGGGGGGGCGGGAACACCTGCCCCCACCGCCCGGCTTCGGAACGCTGCTCCGAAGCAGGGCGGGGGGGCGGGAACACCTGCCCCCACCGCCGGGCTTCGGAACGATGCTCCGAAGCTGGGCGGGGGGGCGGGAACACCTGCCCCCACCGCCCGGCTTCGGAACGCTGCTCCGAAGCTGGGCGGGGGGGCGGGAACACCTGCCCCCACCGCCCGGCTTCGGAACGCTGCTCCGAAGCAGGGCGGGGGGGCGGGAACACCTGCCCCCACCGCCCGGCTTCGGAACGCTGCTCCGAAGCAGGGCGGGGGGGCGGGAACACCTGCCCCCACCGCCCGGCTTCGGAACGATGCTCCGAAGCCGGGCGGGGCGGCGGGAACACCTTCTGAAGGCGGGCGGGGGGCGAAAGTCTTTGTCCCCCCTGCCTGCCTTCCCAGGGGCTTTTAAATCGCCCCGGACAGCGGAGAAGTCCTCCGCTGTCCCGGGGCGATTTTAAAATGGCGCCCGCCAGCATTTTAAGATCGCCCGGACAGCGGAGAAGTCCTCCGCTGTCCCGGGGTTTTTTAAAATGCTGGGGGTGGGAAGAAAAGCCCTTGTCCCCCCCCCCCAGCCTTCAGAAGAGGTCCAGGGACAGACTGTCCCCGGACCTGGTCTGAAGGCGGTTTCCCTAGGAACGCATTAATTGATTTTCAATGCATTCCTATGGGAAACCGTGCATCGCAAGACGAAAAACTCGCAAGACGAAGAGACTTGCGGAACGAATTAATTTTGTCTTGCGAGGCACCACTGTACTCCTATTGATGCAACCCAGAATTGCATTGGCTTTTTTAGCTGCCGCGTCACACTGTTGGCTCATGTCAAGTTTGTGGTCAACCAAGACTCCTAGATCCTTTTCACATGTACTGCTCTCAAGCCAGGTGTCCCCCATCTTGTATTTGTGCCTCTCATTTTTTTTTGCCCAAGTGCAATACTTTACATTTCTCCCTGTTAAACTTCATCTTGTTTGTTTTTGGTATTACTTCTGGGTTAGCGGAGTGTTTGTAACCCGAGGTACCACTGTACTTAAAAGTAAACACATTAAAGAAGAGGAAGCGAAAGAAGAAGAAAGCATCCATAGACCCTTGTTCGGGAGGTCCTCCTCATGGCCTGCCTATTTGAAGGCACTTGAGTCTGAATCACTAGTCACTGGGCCCATGACCCTCAACACTGCAGATCAACAATGGTAAAAAGAAAACCATAAAAACTTTCTTGAGCAGCTTGCGGGGAAAGTGTCAGACATTGACAAAAATGTCCCCCTGGTCAAGATCTGGTGCTCTTTCCACATGGCATGGAAAAAGGACTCAGACACTGCTACTGGGGTGACTCGTGTTGCTCTCAGTTCCATCCAAACCTCCTACCTTGTGTTGGACGTGTGCAGATGTGAACTGGATTTGGCTGAAGCAAACTCTTGCTGAAGAACAGCAGCCAGTGAATCCTAGATGTAACCTTGCCACAGAGAAAAGCCTGAATTCAACACCTTGGCCAATGACTTCCACCTCACAGATCCTGTGATTCCCTACAGACCTTCCTGGGTGTTCAGGAACCCTCTTGCGTGTTCAGGTTGGCAGAGGGGGCCCTCTTGGTAGTTTCCCCTGGTGGCGGATCCTTCGCTGGGGAATTCCCTCTCCCCACAGAGATGAACCAGGCACTTTCCCCTCTACTCCCAACGCCTTGGACACAGGAACACACCCACAAGGACTCCTGACTAGCCATTTGGCTATGCAATGTGGGCTGTTCTGTAAACTCTGTTCTGTCCTATCTCCATTTTTTCTGCTTCTGTTTAATTCACCAACCAAGAACTCATACAGCGACCAGCAGTAATGAACTATATGTTGGAGATCCTCCTGCTATTTTTGGGATACAAATGGCATGAAAAGACTCAAGTCTATTTATCTGTATCTTTCATTATTCCTACAATCCTTGTTAATAACCCCCCAAATGTTATTCCGAAAAGAAAGGAAAAAGACTGTTCTTCCTTGGGATCCAGATGCTGCCTTCCTTTTGGGGAGGGGGCTTTGAGCACAGGGAGAAGAAAAGCCCTTCTGCATCTGCAGCAGCAAAACCGGACCACTTCCTCTGTCCCAGATGCAACAACACATGTCTCTCTCCTGTCGCTCTCCACACCCACGGCTGGCGCTGTTACCTTCCAACAGCTGGATCTCACTCCCAAAGGCACTCTCTTCCATGGTCTCTCACGACAGATGGAGGCCAACTAACCAACCATTCCCCCCCTCACAATGCACAGTGGGGCTTTCCCTCTCCTCCCCCTCCTGGTGCCCCCTGAAGTTGGCTTGAGGAGGTTGGGGGGGGGGTCCACCCCACCAGATGCCGAGAGAGGAGGTCCTTCCATCTGGAAAATGGGAACACTTTGAAGAATTATGTGAAGATGAGTGCCGTATAATCATAATCATAAAATTATTACAGTGTGGAATTCCCCCATTCACACAAAGATTAATTGTTGTTTAGTCATGCCTGACTCTTCGTGACCCCATGGACCAGAGCACGCCAGGCCCTCCTGTCTTCCACTGCCTCCCGCTGTTTGGTCAGACTCATGTTTGTAGCTTCGAGAACACTGACCCACCATCTCGTTCTCTGTTGTCTCCTTCTCCTTGTGCCCTCCATCTTTCCCAACATCAAGGTCTTTTCCAGGGAGTCTTCTCTTCTCATGGCGTGGTCAAAGTCTTGAAGCCTCAGCTTCATGATCTGTCCTTCCAATGAGCACTCAGGGCTGATTTCCTTAAGAATGGATAGGTTGGATCTTCTTGCAGTCCATGGGACTCTCAAGAGTCTCCTCCAGCACCATAATTCAAAAGCATCAATTCTTCGGCGATCAGCCTTTTTTATGGTCCAGCTCTCACAAAGATTAATACCCATCATTAAAATTGTTCCATTACAATGTTGAAATAAGCATGCAGGAAAAGAATAGAATTAAAACAGTGCAGCTATTAAAAGGCAGAAAAGAACGGTGCAATGTGTAGAAGATCATCTTCATTCTCCCTTTCTCTCTTAGGGTCCAGTGTGTTTTGAAGACGTAGCTTTTCGTTTCACACACAAGGACTGGGCGTTGCTGGATCCTGACCAGAGAGCTCTGCAGGAGGAAGTCAAGGGGGTGAAGTGTGGGATCCTGGACTCTCTGGTAAGGCTCCCTGCTGGATCATCAGATCAGTTTTGAAATTCCATACAGATCTCTGCAGGACAAACCTCCGCAATTTTGAGGGAGCCCAATAGCGCCACCTGCAGCATCTGAGATGTTAACACACCCACAACTTTCCTTGAATGGAAAAGTATCGATGTGTGTGTGTGTGTGGGGGGGTATCTCCTGTTTTATCTGGGAATATTCTTCCACCAAAACTTTGTAAAAGCATTGCAGGAGATCCTGGGGTCCCTGCCAGGCCCCGATTACTCAGACACCCCAGGGCCCTTGTACTTGAAGAATCTGGAAAATGACCTCATTGACAGAACTGAAAAGAATTTATTACACTCCTTCTGTGCTCTGCCACAAGACGCCCAGAATGAAATACTCTCCAGATTTGACCTCTTACGTTCCTGACTGATAAGTCTGAAGAAGGAGCAAAGGCCTCATGCAAGCAAAACTTGACCCTTTGTGCTCCAGATCCAGCCCACTAGATATAACACCGTGAGTTAGATTTATGGGCTGAAAAGCCACCCCCCCCCACTAACAGCAGGTTACTGAACCTTCTTACCTACCAATTGGAGATGAAAAACTTCCCCAAAGATTTGGACCCCATGCAACTCCTGACAGAGGTGGATACGGCTACACCATCTGCCTGGCTTGCGATGAGAGAGCTCAAATATTGTGAACAGGGCTCTCCATACAAAGCACCTAGCATGGGGGCACCTACATGTAATAGCTACTCTGCTCTTTTCTGCCCATGCTCTGGGGTTGCAGGTTTCAGGCTTGGGGACAGGACGGTGGACTGGTTTTGGTACCAAGTTCTGTCAGTTATCCCCACTGAGTTCAATGGGATCTACTCTCAGGTCACTACTGTGCAGACCATGCCAGGCTTGCAAGTGGGGTGAGGAGCATACGGAAGAAATTGGAATCACTGGAGATGTTTAGAAATGGGGCTTCTCTTGGGAAGGGGCTGCCCTATTTGTGCTTCTCCAGGGGCAGGAGAATATCTAGGGCAAGAGAATCCCTGCAGGGCCTCTGAGGCTCCCTTTGCGTCTTCCTCTCTCCCAGGACCCTGCAGCTTCTTTTGGCTCCTTGACTCCTCAGGAAGGATGAAAGAGACAGATCCTGCAAAGCTAGCGAGGATGGAAGGAGGAAGATGGACGGTTGACCTGGTCAGGTTGTCTCCTGCATCCCTCCCCACAACCTCTGAGCGTTCCCTCCCAGGGACCTCCGAGAGATCTGGTGAGTTCTTCTTTTTATATAAGATTTTTTATTAGGAATTACAACATAACATTTTATCAATAAAACATATCATCCTCATTCCCCCCTCCATTTCCCCCTCCCCAAAATAGAAACCCCCCTCCCACCACTCCCAGACTTCCCTCAGCTCCTCTCTCTGGTTTTTCCATACTTATAATTCTCTGCATATTATAAAATTGTAAAAATCCTTAACCTATCTGACTATATGTTCTTAATAATAAAAATGTGAATGTTGATTCAAAACCTGCCAAGGAGTCCAGTTCATTTTGTTGTCTCTTTAAATACTTTGTAAAGGGTTCCAATTCTTCTTTATAGTCACAGTTGTCCTTATCACATAGTTTGTATGTGAATTTCGCCAATTCCGCTTAGTCCATCAGTTTCTCTTGCCATAGTTCTTTAGTTGGGGTTTCTTCATTCTTCCATCCTTGTGCTATTAAGACTCTTGCTGCCATTGTTGCATACATAAAGATAGTCTTAAATTTCCTTGGCAGGTCTTTCCCTAAAATCCCTAACAAAAATACTTCAGGTTTTTTAACAAATGTTAATTGGAACATTTTCTTCAACTCATTATATATTGTTTCCCAAAAATTTCTAATCTTACTGCAATCCCACCACATATGGAAAAAAGTCCCTTCTTTTTCCTTACATTTCCAACACATGTTTGAACTGGATTTATGCATTCTTCCTATCTGCACTGGTGTTATATACCACCTGTACATCATTTTCATATAATTTTCTTTCAACAGAGAGCAATCTGTAAATTTTAAATCAGTTTTCCACAATCTTTCCCAGTCTTCAAACATTATATTGTGACCTATATCCTGTGTCCATTTAATCATTACTGTTTTCACCTCTTCATCTTTTGTTTCCCATTCTAACAGAATACTATATGCAGCTTTCAGCAGCTTCACCTTCCCTTCTACGACTTCCTTTTGGAATCTGGATGTCGTATAGCTAAATCCTTTCTTATTATCTTCTTTGTATATTTCATGTAGTTGCCAATAATGTAACCAACTCTGAAAATGGTCTTTTATTTCCTCATAGTCTCTTAATTTCCATTTTCCTTCTTGGTCTTTTAACAGATCAGCATACATAAGCCACTTTCCTTTCTTTCCGAGTGGTTTGAGCAGTAAAGCTTTGTGTGGTGAAAGCCACCAAGGAGTCTTTTGTTCTAACAGATCTTTATCTCTCTCCCATACTCTCATTAATGATTTCCTAATTATGTGATTGTAGAAACTTTTATGTACCTTCCCTTTCCCATACCATAAGTATGCGTGCCGGCCAAATCTGTTGTCATGTCCTTCCAATTCTAATGCTTCTTGTTTTTCCAACTTCATCCAGTCCCTAATCCAAACCAGGCAGGCAGTTTCATAGTATAATTTAAGGTCTGGGAGAGCATAACCGCCTCTATCTTTTATGTCTGTAAGTATCTTATATTTTATCCTTGGCCTTTTGCCCCCCCCAGATAAACTTAGAAATTTCTTTCTGCCAGTTTTTAAAACATTCGTCTTTCACAATTATTGGGACTGATTGGAAGAGGAATAGCATTTTTGGCAGCACATTCATTTTGGCCGCTGCTATTTTCCCTAACAGTGAGAGATTCATTCTGCTCTATATTTATAAATTTCTTTTTACCTCAAGCCATTTCCCCCCATAATTATCTTTGTATAAATTTATATTTCTTGATGTTAGCCATGTCCCTAAATACTTAACCTTTTTATGGACTTCTATCTCAGTGTTTTGCTCCAATTCCTTTTTTTTTTCATCCTTCAAATTTTTAAGTAGTAATTTTGTTTTATTCCTGTTTAATTTAAATCCTGCCACTTCCCCAAAATTCTGGATCTTTTCTATGACTTTAGGGAGTGAAGTTTTTGGGTCTTCCACAGTTATCACTAAATCATCAGAACATGCTTTTAATTTAAATTCACTTTTCCCAGTTTTTACACCTATGATCTCTTTATCTCCTCTAATATTTCTGGCAAGTACTTCCAGTACCAGAATGAACAACAGTGGTGATAATGGACATCCTTGTCTGGTTCCTTTTTGTATCTTACATTCATCCATTATTACCTGATTTATAATTAGTTTTGCCTTTTCTCTGAGTAAATTGCTGATATTCCTTTTAAAAATTTAGGGGCGCATTTAATTTCTTTTTGTTTTTAACCTCCAGGTATTCTATTATATTCAGAATATTCCTTATATTCTCCTTCATTTGTCTACGTCCTTCGGAGGACAGCCAAATTTAAGCACAAATTCGACCCACAGCTGTGAGGCATTCACAAGCTTTTTTTGTGGAGAAAGTCCTGTTCCTCCGCCATGACCTCCCTGCCAATTTAGATACAGTGACTGAACTGGAGGCCCCTCGACTGACTTAAGGTCCAGTGTTGGACCACTTTGATCGGATACTCCCTGCTGATGTGGATAGATTCCTCCAAGTTGGTAGGCCCACCACCTGCCTCCTTGATCCGTGCCCATCTTGGCTGATAAGGGTGTGTCCAGATGTCGCGCGGACCCCCCTGGTTGAAATTATCAATCTGTCCCTTGGCACGGGGACATTCCCAGGGGAACTGAAGGAAGCAGTGGTGTGTCCGCTCTTAAAGAAAACTTCACTAGATCCCTTGTTGTTGTTTAGTCGTTTAGTCGTGTCCGACTCTTCGTGACCCCATGGACCAGAGAACGCCAGGCACCTCTGTCCTCCACTGCCTACCGCAGTTTGGTCAAACTCACTCTGGTAACCTCGAAAACACTATCCAACCATCTCATCCTCTGTCGCCCCCTTCTCCTTGTGCCCTCCATCTTTCCCAACATCAGGGTGTTCTCCAGGGAGTCTTCTCTTCTCATGAGGTGGCCAAAAAGTATTGGAGCCTCAGCTTCAGGATCTGTCCTTCCAGTGAGCACTCAGGGCTGATTTCCTTCAGAATGGAGAGGTTTGATCTTCTTGCAGTCCATGGGACTCTCAAGAGTCTCCTCCAGCACCATAATTCAAAAGCATCAATTCTTCGGCGATCAGCCTTCTTTATGGTCCAGCTCTCACTTCTATACATCACTACTGGGAAAACCATAGCTTTAACTATACGAACCTTTGTTGGCAAGGTGATGTCTCTACTTCTCAAGATGCTGTCTAGGCCTGTCATTGCCCTTCTCCCAAGAAGCAGGCGTCTTTTAATTTTGTGGCTGCTGTCACCATCTGCAGTGATCATGGAGCCAAAGAAAGTAAAATCTCTCACTGCCTCCATTTCTTCCCCTTTTCTATTTGCCAGGAGGTGATGGGACCAGTGGCCATGATCTTCGTTTTTTTGATGTCCCGCTAAGTCCCGCCCCGCTCCGGATGGCGGCGCAGAGCTGCCTGCCGTCCCGGGATCAGCACAGCTCTGCGCGGCCACCGGGAGCCGGGGGCGAAGCCCCGCCCCGGTCCCGATGGCCGCGCAGAGCTGCCTGCAGTCCCGGGATCAGCGCAGCTCTGCGTGGCCATCGGGAGCGGGGCGCGAAGTCCTGCCCCGCTCCGGATGGCGGCGCAGAGCTGCCTGCAGTCCCGGGATCAGCGCAGCTCTGCGCGGCCACCGGGAGCCGGGGGCGAAGCCCCGCCCCGCTCCGGATGGCCGCGCAGAGCTGCCTGCCGTCCCGGGATCAGGGCAGCTCTGCGCGGCCACCGGGAGACCGGCTCCGAGGGTTGCACAGAGCTGCCTGCAGTCCCCGGCTCAGCGCAGCTCTGCACGGCCATCGGGAGCGGGGTGCTAAGTCCCACCCCGCTCCGGATGGCGGTGCAGAGCTGCCTGCCGTCCCCGGGATCAGCGCAGCTCTGCGCGGCCACCGGGAGCCGGGGGCGAAGCCCCGCCCCACTTCCGATGGCCGCGCAGAGCTGCCTGCAGTCCTGGGATCAGCGCAGCTCTGCGCGGCCATCGGGAGCGGGGCGCTAAGTCCCGCCCCGCTCCGGATGGCGGGCAGAGCTGCCTGCAGTCCCGGGATCAGCGCAGCTCTGCGCGGCCATCGGGAGCGGGGCGCTAAGTCCCGCCCCGCTCCGGATGGCGGCGCAGAGCTGCCTGCCATCCCGGGATCAGCGCACTTCTCCCCATCGCCAGCCCCACAAGCTCGGTGGACAGCGGGGAGGCAGAGTGTGCCTTCCCACTGTTCCCCGACCTGGTTCTTCCAGCCCCGCACCTGGGGGGGGGGAAATAAAATTTTTCCCTTTATTTCCCCCCCAAAAAACTAGGTGCGTCCTATGGGCCGGAGCGTCCTCTGGGGCGCAAAATACGGTACTGATGCTAAAGACAGAGGGGGGTTTGCCCTGCCAGACCTTAAACTTTATTATGAGTCAGCAGCTTTTTGCTGGCTGAAGGAATGGCTACTTCTGGAGAATACAGATGTTTTGGATCTTGAAGGGTATGATAACATATTTGGGTGGCATGCATATTTGCGCCCTCTCCGATTGCATGGAGCCCGGACAGCCCCGTAGTTTTCCACGGATCTGAGGGCAATGAAACAATCGTTGAGACGGCTAGAGCGCCGGTGGCGGATGACCCATTCTGAAGCTGACCGGACACAGGTTAGAGCTCAATGTTGAGCCTACCAAGTGTCGGTAGCGACGGCGAAGAAGGCTTTCTTCACCGCCTCTATTCCATCTGCAGAAAACAGCAGCAGGAGACTTTTTCAGGTGGTCCGCAATTTAGCGGAACCACCTGCTACATCGGGGCCCAGTACGGGCCACATGATCTCCTGCAATGATTTTGCAAAGTTTTTTTGCAGATAAAGTTGCTCAGATTCGGGAAGAGGTAGACGCCACCGTGGGAGCAGGGCCGGGGCGGGAGAGTGCTAGACTCCTGTCTAGTCAAATTGCGTGGGATCAATTCCAATCTGTTACCTCCGAGGATGTGGACAGGCTGCTTGGACGAGTGAAACCAACCACCTGTCTCCTTGATCCTTGCCCATCCTGGCTTATAAAAGCTAGCCGGTAAGGGCTGGGCAA